AGCTGTAGAGGGCGATGAGGTCTCCCCTCAGCCTCCTCTTCTCCAGACTAAACCCCCCCAGTTCCCTCAGCCGCTCCCCATCAGACCTGTGCTCCAGACCCTGCACCAGCTCCGTTGCCCTTCTCTGGACACGCTCGAGTCATTCAATGGCCTTTTTGGGGTGAGGGGCCCAAAACTGAACACAGGAATCGAGGTGCAGCCTCACCAGTGCTGAGCACAGGGGTCAGATCCCTTCCCTGTCCCTGCTGGCCACGCTATTGCTGACACAAGCCAGGATGCCATTGGCCTTCTTGGCCCCCTGGGCACACTGCTGGCTCATTATCAATCCCCCCCAGGTCCCTCTCTGACTGGCAGCTCTCCAGCCACTCCTCCCCAAGCCTGTAGCGCTGCTGGGGGTTGTTGTGGCCCAAGGGCAGCCCCCGGCATTTGCCCTTAGTGAAACTCCCCCAGTTGGGCTCAGCCCAGTGAGGGGAAGTGTGAGGGTATGTGGTCAAAGGCAGACGGAACAGAGACACAGCAAAACAAAAAGGAGGTTTTAGGTGGAGGTGAGAAGCAGGAGAGGCCTGGCTGCAGTAACGTCGTGTGACTCTCAAAGTTGTTTGGTGTTTGATGCCTGAAGCCGGCTGGGAAGACCCGCTCCTGTAGGAACCTGCTTGAATAACTTCACCCAGGGCGCCACTGCCAGCAACTTCTTGTTCAAGTGAAAGGTGGTTTTGAGTGGGGTTTCACCCTAGTCCAATTCAGTTCAGCTTAATTTTTTTTTCTTTTGTTATAGAGGATAAACATAAGGACCTCACATTTTACACATGAAATAAAACCGTAGATGTGGTGTTGGGCAGGATTAGATTTAAAATCTATGTGGGCAAATTGGGGAAATGGTCTGGAAAAAACAGGAGGCAGCTGAATAAGGATAAGTGGAAGGTCGTACACTTGAGCAGCAATATGAACTCCCCAAGTACAGAGGAGGGAGTGATGGGTTAAGTAGGTATTCTTCAGAAAAAAGGATCAAAAGCTGAATGTGAGTCAGCTATGTCATGGTGTTGAGGTGATGGAAAACAAGTTGAGGGGAGTATGTGGGGTAATTGGATCCAGCCCAGCAGAGAGCAGAGAGAACTAGTGGAAGTCAAGAAACTGTTACCTACCATGGAAGCCTGAAAGAACTGAAATTCCCTAACCCAAAGGAGGAGAGAACTGAAGTCTTTAAGCACATAAAAGGACATAATCTTTGTGCCTTGTCTGTGATGGGGAAGAGGAAAAAAAAGAAAAAAGAAGGCTTAAGTCACAGCAGGAAAGACTCAATTTAGATGTTAGGAAAAACTTTCTAATGACAGGGATAATAAAGAATAGACTGCCTGGGGAGTGGAGAGCTTTAAGATCAAGTTAAGCAACATCTGTCAGGGATGTCTGAGGTTTAGGTGATCCTGCCTTGGGTTAGCAGGATGGACTGGTCTGACCTTTCAAGGTCCCTTTCAGCCCTAATTTTTCAGTGGTTCTTCGGGCCGACATTAATCTTCTTAATGGTATTTAAACAGTCAGCAGCTTCTCTTAAGTAACTGCTAGCAAGTCTCTTCTCTTGCCTGCGGTTTAAAATTAACTTAATTTCCATGCATCACTTTCACCCTCCAGCTCCCAAGTCCTGCATAGCCAACGAGCAGTTGAACTCCTTGACTGCCTGTCAGTACCTTCCTCGCAGCTCCGCAACTATCCACAATGAAAAAGAAGGGATAGAAATGCTGCATAACAGGGGCTATGTCACCTGTGTGAGAGTGGCCTCCTTTTCTGTGTTTATACGTAGGAGATACAGTCCTCCTTGTGATAGCCAGATCTCATACATGGTTATTTCATTTTGGGCGCTCCGGGGACCTGCCTTTCTGTGTTGCCCTCATCTTTCTGAGGGAGCTTATCCTGCCCTGCCTCTGACAAAGGCTGGCCTGTTTCTGAAAGGAGTCATGTCAGACCGTGGCTCTTCACTGTTGGGTTGTTGCAGGTCAAGACTTGAGTGTCCAAGCCCAGACACTTGCCCAGTGTATGTG